AATATATTATTCTACCTAAGAAAATAATATTTTGCCACCAAATTAAAATTGAATATTCCTTAAATTAAACTGTTACTATACGTTACTTATAATAACACTTCAAGTCTGAAAATGGTTGAATAAACCAAAACGTTACAAAATACATAACATATAGTTGTGTAATTATTTGAGCACTACCCTGGAAAAAACTACATAGGTAGAATGAATTATTGAAAAATCAAGAGTTACGGGATTTACTCCCCTATGGATTTGCCATTCATCAAGTAATTATGTTAAAACAAACCAAGTGGAAAAAGTAGAGATGAACCGAGTAGCCGATTTGGATCCGGTACCCGGTGGATCCGGCATTTTTTTTTGCATCCAACCGGATAGCGGATGACGCTGGATACTCGACAGTGTCGGGTAATTCTATCGGAGAACAAAGAAAAAACGAACACCATCAATAATAATATAATGAGTATAACAACAAGTCTACCTAGTGAAAATTTGGTAATTAAGGTTGTATTGGGGTAGGTCGTTTGTCCTAATTTGTATTATTTATTGATTAATTTGGATACCGTGGATAGAGAAGGTTAGAAATGAAGAGATATTAGAAAGAATAGGAGAACAAAGGACTCTATGGAAGTCGATAAGAAATAGGCGAGATAGGATAGTAGGACACCTTCTCAGGCATAAAGGTCTAGTCAGAGACATATTAGAGGCAGAAACGGGAGTTAGGAGGGGTAGAGGTAGACCTACATTAGATTACTGTTCGCAAATAATTAAGGATACGGGTTGTTCTTGTTTTAAGGAAAGAATGGAGGTGCGTGTCCAACCAGTACTAGGACTGACGACCTTATGATGATGATGATGATTGATTACTTTAAAGCAAAATAATTACTGTTGCTAGTAACAGACTTGTAGCACTACTCATTTTAAAACTGAAAACGTGTAGTTTCCATTTTCTTTTTGATGATGAAACCCTGATGAGAAGACTCTAGGAATTTACTTCAAAGCAATTAACAGCATCAGTTGCAACATGTTCAACATTTTCGGTATAACGTGCTGCTACTATAAGTAAGTACTACACATAATTCGAAAGCTAATAATGTAAAGTGTTACATGTCCATTAGGAAACTACTTAATAATTCCCGCGTTTAAAGTACGCACTCTATTTATGCGTATATATATTTCTTTGTCAATACCATGTATAAATAATATCTTGCTGCCCCTGAACCAATTCCAGTTGTTTGAAAAAGTCAAAACCCACGATCACCTTATTAACAGTTGTCTTAAATAGCTTTCAACTGACTATCGTTATTCCACGTCTATTTTTAGAAGCAACTTACAAGAAATTTAAACTGCAAAACAGGCGCGTTGGATTTGCGATTTGACTAAAATAATATTACTACAACAATGGTGTTATGAAATACACACAACAATACAAAATGATTCACACTACTCTTGTACATTACTTATGCCTAAGCATTGTCACAAAAATGTGGTGTATTAGTTAAATAATCTTAACTAAAAAAATTATAAAAACCTTACCTATTTCTCTATTGTCTTTAATAAAAAAGTCATTATGCAATAAACTAATTAACTATGCTTCAACTACCGTATATAAATAATGAAGCTTACAATAAATGTACTAAGGACAGAAACAATTCCGTGCGAAACTGATTTAATGATCACACAGAAAAATTCAGGTTTCTCGCTTGACCCATAGTTGATATCTCCCATCAGAAATATGTATTTCAACGATTTGTCACGCACAAAATAAAATTGTTTATATTGCAATTGATGAAAAAGCAATGTTACATAACTAATACCATTGAAATTTACTTTTATTCTTTTTAATTTTAATATACTTTATGTAAATAAAAGCTTTCAATAAAATGGAAGCGGTACCGACAGATCAGTACTGTATGAAAATAAATAAAAGTAAAACTAAAATACTGGTATACAAGGAAAGAAAAAGTAGGGAAAGAGTGAATATAAAGATAGGAGACGAAAAATTAGAAGAAGTGGCTGATTTTAGATACCTAGGAAGTCAGATAAGTCAGAATGGAAGGAGTAGTAAGGATATAAAGCAGAGGATAGCGCAGGGTCGTGTCGCCTTTAATAAAAACAAGTCACTTCTATGCTCGCGAACGGTTAATTTAGAAATTAGAAAAAGGTTGTTAAATGTGTATGTTTGGAACACGGCATTGTACGGGTGTGAAACATGGACAGTGGGCGCTGCGGAAAAGAAAAGGTTAGAAGCGTTCGAAATGTGGTGTTATAGGCGAATGATGAGGATAACGTGGATATAAAATGTTAGAAATGAAGAGGTATTAGAAAGAATAGGAGAACAGAGGACTCTATGGAAGTCAATAAAAAATAGGCGAAATAGGTTGGTAGGACACCTTCTCAGGCATTATGGTCTAGTCAGAGACATATTAGAGGCAGAAACACCAGTTAAGAGGGGTAGAGGTAGACCTAGATTAGATTACTGTTAGCAAATAGTTAAGGGTATGAGCTGTTCTAGTTTTAGGGAAATGCGAAATTTAGCTCAGGATAGAAAAGGGTGGAGGTATGTGTCCAACCAGTCTTAGGACTGACGACCTTATGATGATAATGATGATGATGTAATAACCTTTATAAATAATGTATTTTAAAAATTCTGAATTTTCAAATCAATCTACATATGATACAGGTACAGTGTCAGTTTCTGTTTGATAAGAAACAATTACTTTATAACCAGATGCTTGTGGTCTTTTGAAATATAGAAATTCCGATTGGTCCAGAAATCTCCACAAACACAATCCCAGCCCCGACGGCCAAATCCCGTAAGATCGCGACACAAATAAGCCCAGCAAAAATCATCCAATAAAAGTTTTTACAACAATAAATTAGCTTAAATTGAGTTAGGATTGGGTTAAATTACGTTAGGTAGCTAGTATAGGGTTAGGGTGAAGTAAAACACATAGAGGGAGGATAGTGGTGGATGAGAATTTAGGTGCTTATCTGACACTTAACTATGTATTTCATGGTAATAAGTGAGACTATAAACATTTTTAGTTTTAGCCTCCACCTTCAACCTCTACTTCACCGCTTACATTAATGGCGATGAAGTCCTTGGACCTACCCCTTACCCTCGCTATTCCTATCTATCATCCCCGTCACATCACCTAGACAATTACCAAGTTAACAATTTATCCTTGTACTACAATTTAAAAAAACAAAACAATTTTTTACATCCATCCCCTGTGTGACCACGTTGCCACCTTCTACCAGTTTTTTTGGGGTTGTTCAAGGTCCGCCCTACCGCCTTTATCCACCACCACCACCTCCATCCAAGCGAAAATTCCATTATCCAGTCATTTATCATTTTCACTTTTAGCCTGTCCCTCCCCTACTTTTTATGAATGGGGACGACGTCCTTGGATCTCCTCCAACCTCCTCCATCCCTGTCCGAGCTACTGCCCTTTAATCTAATCATTTACCATTTTCATTTTTAGTCTCCCTCACCACTACTTTTAACAATGGGGACGTCGTCCTTGGATCCCCTCCCACCTCCTCCACCCCTACCACCCCTCTCCGAGCTACTGCCCTTTAATTTAATCATTTACCATTTTCATTTTTAGTCTCCCCTACCTCTACTTTTTATCCATAGGGACGACGTCCTTGGATACCCTCCCACCTCCTTCATCCCTACCACCCCTGTCCGACCGACTGCCGTTTTCTATCAGTGGGAATGAAATCCTAGGATCTCCTTCTACCTTCTCTATCCCGACCTCTCCTGTCCGAGCAACGATCCAATTAATGCATTTGATTTATTTTAATTTTAAATGTAATTTGCAATATATACTCTTTATACCTAAATTTATTAGCTGTTGTGTACCGAAGCACACTGTTTTTGCACTTTCATTGTGATTATCGTAGTTTAATCCAAAAAGTAGAACGATTAGCGTTCCACCTGTACCCAATAAGTAATGGTTGCAATTCGCGGTTTTATTGAGCAGTAGACAGCGTCAAGTGCGTCTTTCCACAAAGTGAAAGCAATTCCGAGCGTTGTCGCGGGCCGGTCAAAGACCAGGGGCCTTCTTCGTTTGTCAACCAACGAACTAATCGTAAAAGTAGGTATTACCGCAAAAGCTAGACGTGTTATGCATTTTCGAGTGGATAACGTGAGACATGCACGTGGTTTTTGTTGCTCTTGATTAAATTCAGTTTGTACAATAGCTAAGTTGTTATAAAGTGGACGAACTGCGAACTTACTTATCAGATCAAACGCTAACGCGAGTGACTCACTTGGCCGACGTTGGGGTATTGTAAAAAAACGTTTAGGAAATAAGTAAGATGCTAGTGAACAGATTGTTTGTGCTATTCTTGCTACTGGGGTTTTCCTGCGGACAAAGGAATTTCATCTATAATTCGCTAAAAAGGTTCCCACGACTATCTGCCTTGAATTTACAACAGAGGTTGTATGACCTACGAAAAAGGAACATGGAAAGAAATCGAGTATGTTACGGTGAGTGTCATTTTTTTCCCTTAAATTACCGTAATGATACAGGGTGATTTTATATTTCGATGAGATTTTTATAAGTCTCAAACCTCGTATTCAATTTTTGAAACAATTAAAAATGGTAAAAATTATTCGCACTTTAAAAATAGATCAAAATCGATTTAAAAAAAATGGATAAAGGATAAATAATAAAAAAATATTAATTTACAAAAAATAATTAAGGAAACAGAGCTCAACTTTAATAATAATATAAGCAGTATTAATCTTTGATACATTGCTTAATAATGGTCCCTTATCCAACAGGACCAAGCTTGACCCAAGATTGTTCAATTCTACTATAGTCACAGACCAAGCACAGCAAATGCCTAGTTTGTCGCTTTGGCTCAAACCTGGTTAACAATCTTGGTCCATTAGTACTGAACCAAGCCTTGGTGAAAATTGAACAGCCAATATTGAGCAAAAACTTAATGAACAATATTAGCCCAATGTTGGGTCAAGACTTTATGAACAACATCAACCCAACATTTAGCAATCAAGCTCATAGTTGACTGCCCAGTATTGAATCAAACTTAGCGAAACGTTAATGTACCTAGCCTTACATGATATTTGCAAATTGGCCGAACTTTTGACCAATATTAAAAAGCCTCTGCTTGGCTTCCCACTACTGGTCCACATTTAGGCCTGTCGCCAAATCCGATATTTCCTACACGGTAAGACATGGTGTAGCAGTCAGAGAAACTTATTAGAACTACGCCTAACCTAGCCTAAATTAAAACCAGTCAGCTAAAGCATGAATTGTATAATTATTTATCGTTACATAGTTAATGTATCTTTTTTAATAGGCAATTAAGAATAAGTATATTTAGATAAAAAATGTTTTTTTTTCTTTTTCAATCTATCATGCTTCTTGAACAAATTGACTAAAATCGTAAAACTTACTATTCTACATTAGAATGACGTCGGCTAGTTTAACAGTTATAACTAAAGTACCTATAATTTGTTAAATGGAAGAAATAATAGTATACCTCGTAATCAAAAGAAAAATTTTAGCATTATTTGGTACAGAAGGATTTACCCAAGAATCGTGCCGAAATAAAATAAGGACTGCATAACTTCCATTAGCAGTAACGAAGCCTATTTAAATTTTAACAAATGAAGCAAAAATCCATAATTTCCGTCCGGTAATTTACCTCCGCCATTTTTGGAAAATTAAAAACGAAAAATTGTACTGAATTGTACTACATATATGCTGCATCGCAAAATTCTTTATCAACAAAAAGATGGCGCACTTACGTAAAATTTAATCAAAAATAAGTCAGCATCATCGTTTTAAAAATACATTCGGAATTTTCTTTATAACCTAACCCGTTACTGGCATTAGTTTCTTCCTTCTTTTGAGCTAACTTTTGGCGAAAACTCTGCAGTATATTTTATCCACCACTAAACTACTTACAAAATTATCCATGTCAAATTTGATATTTAACTTAAGTAAATAGATAACTGTAATTGACACAATTAATCATTATCTATTTTTCTGCTTTTTGATTTTGTAAATTCTCAATAAATAAGCATCTCATTTAAATTCCAATAACAGAAAACAAAAAATATATTTTTGGTTAAATCGAGATTAATTATTTATCGACACATTTAATAGCAATTAACTATGTATCGAACAACCATTCACCCATATGATCATTTACAATTTATTTTACAATGTTCCATAAAAATAAAAAATTGTCTACCATAATTTTAAACAATGTTGTATGTAGATAGACTTTAATATGATATAATAAGACCTTAACGCAAATTAATTGCCCATGTTACAATTTTTTTCCACATAAAAACTTTACATAATACATAATTAGGAGTCCAATTAAGGAAACCTAAATGTCTATATTCCATTTTTTTCAAACTCAAAGAATTATTTTTACCATACATTTCTACTATAAATTTTCATTTTTTTGAATATTCTATGCACCTTTTCATTTACAAGAATTCTTTTGAAATATCTATATTGAAAAGGTTACCCAAATACCTACTTTGAACAAGAATTAATTTTGCAAAATCTGTGCACAACATTTAAAAATTGCGAAAGGCATTTCATACAGATCTATATTAATTTCTTTTTCTGAAATACCTTTATTAAATATGCCGACAAAGTTTGAGTTCATTTTCCATTGATGTTTTATGTTTTTTTATATAAGCTGCGATTGCATAAATGCTAAAAATTCATTAATTTGTTAAATAATACAATTACAGTTTTATTAGAACCTTTTATAGCATTTACTTCACAACAAAATATTAATATAAAAAAATATTATCCATTTTAATCAGCTATAAAAATATGCAAATATATTTAATTTGTGAAGTGGAAACAAACAAAATAATAGGCTTTATTTCTTAAATTTTATAGAAGCATTATGTTTTTTGTTGTCTCTGATTAAAATATATATACATATTCATGTAATTCAGTGAGAAACTAGCTGTTGGTTTAATAATATTACCAAAAATTTCAGGTTTCTCGCTTGACGCACTATTGATATCTCCCATCAAAAATACGTATTTTGATTGTTTGAAACGTACAAAACAACTTTTATTGTATTGGAGTTGATCAAAAAATAAATTAAGTAGCTGATACTATTGCAATGGCAATGTATACAGTGTGTTTTTATTTTAGAAGTGCATATAATAAATTATGTTTGGAATGAAATGCTAAAATACTTCATGCAGCTTAGACGACAAATGCAGCTAAAAATTTCTGCATTCTATCTACGGTAGATCTAAAATATTAGATTTTGTTATTAATAAATAACCGTCTGCCAACAATCATGTAACTGAAAGAATTTATTTTGCTGATTCGTTTAGTTAACCAACAAAATTTTTACTGAAAATTTCAGGTTTCTCGCTTGACGCACTATTGATATCTCCCATCAAAAATACGTATTTTGATTGCTTGAAACGTACAAAACCATTTTTTTTTATGTTTGGAATGAAATTCTAAAATATTTCATACAGCTTAGACTACAATTGCCGTTAGAAATTTCTGTATTCTATATATCAATCTATCTAGGGTAGTTCTGAAATATTAGACTTTGTTTTTAATAAATAACAAGAAACAACGACTTCGCTAAAAAAAATGTAATAAAGCGTCTGTTTTGCGCAACTGCCAAGAATAATGTAACTGAAAGTATTCAATTTGCTGATTTAATAATTTTCAATATTTTTCACTGCTTGTGTGTCATTCAGCAGTTCATACTTTCTCAGCTGTTTTACTAGCCAATGTGTTCAAGGTTTATAGAAAATAAAAATAATTCTTTTTTACAATTAAATGATTACCGCAACTGTTTCTATTGATTAAATATTATTTACGTTGTTAGCCTTAGTCTTACAAAATTTTAATTAACAATTCAAGCAATAGTCAATCATAATAAATAAAATATGAAATGTTTTTAAGATATATATTTACGTTTTACGATTCATGTAAAACCAACGGAAAACCATTTGATTTCAAATGGAAAGAAGACTTTTAGCGCCCAATGAGACCTTTCATCTACAAGTTGAGAACTACCAGAATCCAAAATTTCAAAAAGTTTAACAGAGGGCCATATTCCACAGATCTAGCAAGGTCCTTATAGTTATAAGGTCACAAAAATATATAATTGTCTAATTTTCTTATCCGTTTTTCAGCACCTATGCAATAAGCGCTAGTATTAATACCTATATGTTTTGCTCTTGTAGAACAAACAGAATAGCTCAAGACCCCAACGCCAAAACACGACACTGTAGTTGTCCCAAGGGCGTAAATGACTAAAAAAAAGGATCATTCCGGCTATTCATTTACGAACTTGAACTGTTTGAAACGAGTTATTATCTGAATCGACTGGAACTAACTGCCCAAACTAAATCAAGTGGATGCCCGGGCACCCGTGTACCCCCCCACTTGTTGCGCCCCTGGTTGTCCGAAGCACTTTTCGGTAACAGGGTTACCTTCTTCAGGGACAGTTCACTACAGTGTCGTGTTTGGGCGTTGGGGTTTTGAACTATTCTGTTTGTTCTACAACAACCGCCAAAGTTTTTCCAATTTTCATATATCTTTTGGTCTATTTCATGCCTCAACGTATAAGTCTGCTTATCGATATTATTTCTATTTGTTTTCAGAAACTGTCGGTTGCTTTCATGTTCCCCAACACGTGAGGTCTCCACTCCGAAAAGCTCCCGAAGATCCGAAAATGTTAGAAACGAAATTTTACTTGTTCAGAAAGGAGTTGAACTTTTCCCATCCACAACTTCTAAATTACGACGATAACGGAAAAGTCCTACAAAAATCCAATTTCGTCCCACAGGAAAAATTAAAGGTGATTATCCATGGTTATATGACGACATGGAACGCGAAGGGAATCTTGGCAGCGACAGATGCCTACTTGAAATTTGTAAGTCTCAAACGGCAATTACTTCGTATTAAATATATAAAAGCAAGCAAATCAGCGAAAATTTGCATTCTTTCAATAATCTACCAGTATAAGCCCCAATGTAGTCTTACTCGAATCAAATAATACCTTATTTCAAAAATTTCGTAATCATATTGATGTAAATCTACCTCCATGTACAAATATTTACATATAACACGTTAGTTGTCCTAGGGTATGGACAGCTATTTTATTTAAAAATTAAAAATTAGATTTTATTCTGCAGTATTAATATCTAACAATTTTGATAGAACCTGCTAAACAATAATTGTATTCAAAATTTATTTTATTGCTTACAGAAATATAATTTATTTGAAATACTAGCATTTAAAATACCTGTTTTTATCTTGCATTGAAATAGTTTTTTGAGAAAAGCATTTTGTATTTTATTTAAAATACTTTTCCAAACGTATTTTCTATT